CCAAAATTGTTCGATTACATTTGCTTTTCCCGAAACTATTTTCATACATGCTACTTGCTATTGATATGGTGATACTTGATCATTACAAGCTTGGAAGAAAGTTTGGAAAAAAAAATAATTTTTTTAAAAGATATATAGAAAAAGAAAAGAAAAAAAATGCATATATATAATATTTACACTATACACAAATTAATTTCTATAAATGTTTTTTTTTTCATTTTCGTAATAATATAGTGCATCCGGGAAAAATGCAATTAAAAAATGTAGTAAGTTTTATAATAATCAAATAGAATATTAAACCTAGTTCCACCCGATAAATTAAATAAATAACCCAGAAAAATAAATAAGAGACTGAAGCATATAGCCTTGGAAACTAGAGAGATTTTTTCAACCTAATTACGAGAAGATTTCGAGAAGAATTGGGGGAAGGTTAAGGTTTGTTTGGAAGCAAGGCGTTGAGAAATATTAAAGATCCATGAGTAAAGCTTTTCAAATCACCTTGACAATCAATATTATGCTATTACCATGCTGTTCCTTTGCCTCATGCTTCTTCGCTTTTGCACAGTAATCCAACCACCATTTCCGTCGTCCTTCTTTGGGCGTGGAATTACACCATTTTTATTCGGTTCAGTAATTTCTGGAACCAAATTCTTTTGTTCTAGAGTGTTTGCTTGTGGCATGGTTGGAACACCGTTAATATCCGATGGTTCAATTGCACTGTTACGTTTTGAAGGAGGAGTTTCAAGAATTGTTGCAAGTTTTGATGGAGATGGTTCAATACTTCGTTCAGATATTAATCCATTAGAATCATTTGTTGATTTTGTTTCAGTAGGTATTACGTTAATGGTCGGTGATGCATTTTGTTTTTTGGACAATGATTCTGAAAGTTCACGCGCTCTTCGCTCGGATTCTGATAGCGTGAGATTTTCAGCTTTTAGTCGATTATTTTCTTTTATTAATTTCTCAACATTGCGTGCTATATATATAGTTAGAAGTTAGTAGTTAGAAGTTAGTAACACATTTAACACATTTAACACATTTAACACATTTAACACATTTAACACAATTAACGCAATTAGAGCAATTAACGCAATTAGCATAATTAACACAAATAATAACCTTTTTGCTCAAGTTGTTGTCGACTTTTAGCATCTTCTTGTTCTATGAATGATAATAAAAGAAAAATTTAAGTGAATTATGAAATTATCAAGGAAAAACCAATAACATACATATACATATACATACCTTTTGCAGTTAAACGTTCAATTTTACTTGTTAGCTCCGAAATCGTGGATTCATAACGTTTCTTTTCCCAATCATTAGCTTTCGCTTCTGCTTTTGCGTTTGAAAGTTGAGCACGAAGGTCTTCAATAGATGAAACATCAGCGAATAAGCTGCGTTTTGCTTCAAGTTCAGCTTTTGTAGCTTCAAGTTCGGATTTAATTTCATTATAAGATTTATTTATAAAATCAAATTTATCTTTTGGTACCATAGATTGAATTAAATTGGATTGTTGATTGATTTTTTGATCACGTTCATTAAGTTGATTTTTTACTTCTTGTAAATCAGAACTATTTTGT